GGAACATTTTGTTTATGGGAGAATTCTTTCGTTTGTTTTCGCAGCATGGTTAAAGTTTTTCTTTTATTTATTCCAAGAGAGTGTTTCCAAAGGAGTCAATGCAAAACCTCTCAAGGTCGAATGAGCTACTGGTTTCTACTGAATTCCGCTTAAGATATAGTGGCGAGGAGATGGAACAGCCACGCCCCTAGCGGCTGTGTTGAGAACTCAACCCATGGGAAGAACAACGCGAAGCATTCTTTGGTGTTTTCTGATGCAGCTCTCGGCTGGCGTCTCATAACGATCGCGACGCTAGCACACGGTGACGCCAAGACGAAAAGCGTCTGCCACTTGGCGGCGTACTCTCGTCGAACTGTAGCACCGTGTTGGTGCGCTCCGTCCTCTAGTCCTCCGTTTTATCGCAATGTTTTAGAGCGCAGCTCTCAGGGGCCCGTTTCCAGCCTGAGCGGCGTCGGCGTCGCCGTCGGCGTAACTGCGCCCCTCCCCCTCCTCGTCCCCCTCCTCCTCCCCCTCCTCCTCCTCCTCCCCTCATTGTCCTCCTCCTTCCCCTCCTGTTCCGCTCCTCCTCCCCTCCTCCTCCCCCTCCTCCTCCGCTCCTCCTCCTCCCCCCTTCTTGTCCTCCTCCCCTCATTGTCTAGTATGGTCCGGGGGGGTCACGTGACCTCGGGGGGAGGGGGTCACATGACCTTGGGGGCGAGGAGGAGGGGGAGGAGGGGGGTCACGTGACCCCCCTCCCCGAAGTCACGTGACCCCCCCCCGGAGCATATTAAAGAATGAGGGGAGGAGGAAAAGGAGGAGGGGTCTACCCTCCCCTCAGTACCCTTCCCTCCTCCTCCTCAAGAGCTGCGCTCCAATTCGGCGTTACAGGAAGTTGTAAACGGCTTTCACTTTTTTTTTTTTTTTTTTTTTTTTTTTTCACTCGTAGGCCGACTTACCGAATCGTCTTCTGCCGCGAAGGAAAACCGGTTTCCAGTTTCCTTTTCTTCGTTCTCTCTCGCACACTTCTCTTTCCCGTTCCCGTGGAAAGAGGAGGGGAGAGAAGAGTGCGAGAGGGAATGGAGAGAAGGAAACTGGGAAAAGATTTTCTGCCCGGCAGAAGACGATTCTGTAAGGTAGAAGGGGCTCTGAAGTTTTGTCACGTTTACCGCTAGGGGCGGGTAGGGACTCGATGACGTCAGGAATAGGCATTGTCTCCTAGGAGCTGTTGGCTCGATTGAGGAAGATGACTTAAGCCTAAGGGATCCAGCCCACAGAGCTTGTGACGGGTAAACACCCAGCTGTGTTAAAAAAAAAAATGCTGGACAATGCGTCCCCACTGGTTCGATCTCGTCAATTGTTTCAAGGGGAATATTGCGTACTGCGTTAGAAGCACCAATGATAATTTGATTAATCAATCAGTCAACTTATTTATTCGTTGTTCCTTAATAATTTTTTCTCATGGTGCAGAGGTAGACAGAAAGCGAGAAAGAGAGAGAGAGAGAGGCAACGAGGTAAGGGATACAATGTAGAGAACACTGCACATGTTTCGTTTTTAGCTGAACACACAGGAAACAGACAAGGACTCGAGCGACAAACTCCATCACAGGTCGTCCAACCCACTGTTCTACGGCCGCCACGTGTTCTCTAGAGGAAGCAGTATTTCAGGAGGGCTGAGTTCTATGACCTTACACCAGTGCCCTCATGCAGTGACCCGGATGCACGTCAGATGGTACCAACTTTGTTCGAAAACAAGCGCACTGAACTTAAGCTTGAAGCAGAGTATTTAAACCGCGTAGCTTGGAAGAGTGCCCGGACAGGAGGACCACGCTTCCCGGTGCAAGAGGTGCAGCCATGAAGACCCTTCTGCTCGTCGTTGCGCTATGCCTGACTTTAAGCTGTATGACGGAAGCTATAAGGGGTGAGTCTTCATCCTAATTATTTGAGTGTCATCTTCAGAGATATACTGAAGGATGGTATAATGTTTTAGATAAAAAAAAAAAATAGCTTTTTTTCTTTTTTACAGGCAATATCTTATATGTTACCATTGTCTGTTTATGTTGCAGACAAATCGTATCATATCACGTAATATTACGTCCTACCTTATAATATATTTTCATACATACATTTTTATGTTCTTGATTCAAATGGCTTGTTTCATCACTAGAACGCTTAGAGTTACGGAAAATTTACATGCTGAATTTCTGAGTTTGCAGACACGCTAAAAGTCTTGCCGCCCCCCCCCCCCCCCCCCCTCCCATATGTCTTTATTGTGAAGGAGCCACATATGTAAAAAAAAAGTAGATAAGTGCAATGTGTAAATCTCTTGAATGATCAAGTGAATCAAGGGATAGCACAATTACAGAACACATTTATTGCGTTTATCCCTGATAACCACATTAAGAGTGAAGTAGTTGATAGCGCATACTCCTCTACAAAAGAATAACGTCGTAAAAAATAATAAAAAATAAAACATATCAGTGTTATTAATACCTCATTTTAAACTTCAAAAATAATCTCAACGGACCCTCCCGTACATACCCAAGGCAAAGCCATAAGAAAAACAGGTTGTCATCGATACACGCGCAACAAACTACACACAACTATATATGCAAATATATGCAGTGTGGAAAAAAAAAATTCAACACATAAACGTGCGAGTCAATACACGCGCAGAACATAGCAGGTTGTACAGAGCCCATACAATTTGTCAACAAAAAAACAAACACAAATAGTACCAAAAAAAAACAATTTACTAGCGTAAGAGTAAAAATCCACGAAAGCACTAATAAAGCCGTAAAAAAATGAAATTGCAGTAAGGAAATTAAACGAAGTACACGGGGCAACGGTAAGTTGAGACGGTATTTTTGCATGCCAGTTTTTTTAAATCTTTTCCTGGCCTTGGGTTGAAGTAATGAACTATAACATAAACTTAAAAATAGAGTAAAAAGGGTAGAATGCTGTGTCGCCTTTTACCTGCTTCAAAACAAACAAACAAATTATGATTTTTCTTAGTGTCTAAATTTCGATTACCATTTCTAAAGTATCTTATAAATAACAATCCACGAAAAATTATTTATTTTTCCTGAAAACGCAACAGAAAGGAAACCGTCCCATTTGAAAGCTTTTTATCTATACCCGTTTTCCCCTCAAGAAAAAAAGCAAGTTTTACGCATTGTTCATACGCGGCGCAAAGTAGTCCTTACGAGATTTGGTTTTCGGAGGAAAAAGCGATGCTTTTCGGCGTTTGGAACGCGTGCGTCTTGATAAGGTAACATATATGTAATCTAAAATTCGCCTACATATGTCTTAATGATCCACATGAAGTGCGAAATTTGTAATACTCCGCGAGGAGTCGGACTTGCTTTCCTTCGGTTCTTGAGGTGAAAACAAGGATAGAAAAGAATTTTAAAGGAGAAGGAGGCGTGCACGAAACACGTTTTCACTTTAGACAGCTAGTGCCTAAAACGCCAGAGTTCGTCATGTTTACAGAGTATGTTCCAGGCGCTAGTTTTTGATTTCACGCACTATTTCGGGAAATAAAAAAGTAACAAAAACTGCATGCTCGAACCTTTCTTTTCTCTTTGGCTGAAGTTGTTGTCCTTGTATCCGACGTTTACGGTGCACATAGAGTTCAATGCAGTTCAAGAACTACAAAAAAAAAAAAAAAAAACTAGTACAGGGTTATTTGTAAGAAAGGAGCAAGTTTCAAATTTTTTTTATTTCGAGCAAACTGTAAAAAAAAAAATATATATTTTGCGCTTCACTCCACAGAGGAAAATTCGACGTCTTTAGAGATACAGCTATAGAAGTCCCATTAAAGGGGCACTGACACCCCAAGGGTCGTATTTTTTTTATTGTCTAAAACGATGCAAATTGTAGTCATAGACAGCAAAAAAAAAAAAACGCATCGCAAAAAAAAAAAAAAAGCTATATTCCTACGCGCGCCCGCGCCTCTTTATTTTTGGCGTCCTCCTCTGCCGCTCTCCTCCTCGCTTCTTTTGATTCGTGACGTCAAAAATCATGAAATTTAGAAGCTTTGTAGGCGACATTTGTATAACATTTAATAACGGCAATCGTAAAACACATTTTTTTAACGCAATTGCGAACGCACTACGGCCCTCCTTTTTGAAATACCAAAAATCGAAGTCCGGTGTGCTGTCGTCTCCTAGATTTGTATCCTCCCTCGGAAAACATGCTGCCTGGGCAGGCGACACCGCTCAAAAACGTTTTTTTTTTTTTTCGGTGCACCGCGGCGCTTTCATCTGCCGCTCCTTTCCTCCTCGCTTTGGGTCGCGATGGCAACAGCAGGGAGTCGTGAAAGAAAGTGGACTCTCAGGACTCTGCAATATTTGACGTCAACGCACCGGTGCGGATCGCGCGGGAACTTCGAATTCGGCGTTTGGAAATTGTTTTTTTACTTCACAAATACTGAATTCCCAAGTTTCGAATTTTCAGGGTAATGTCTCGGCATCGTTTTCAATCGTTTCGTATAATAAAAAAAAATATTAATTTGATGTTTCAGTGCCCCTTTAAACGGCACCCAGCAGCGCTGTTGCTTCTTTATAGGGAAATGGCGACGCCACAGGAGAAGTTGCGTTCTGTGCTACGGTTTGCAGTGCGAATCGATTGAAGCATAGGAATTCATTAACTAGGATATATTGTATTCGAGAGTGACAATAAATGGACCATATGGCGCACCCCCCCCCCCCCCCCCCCCCCCCCCATGTTGGGTGCAAAAAACTTCTAGAACCGGAGAACTTAGAACTTTGAACCTCCTTTAATACATAGACGTGCGGAATGTGCTTCTGTTTCTTAAAGTTTCTTTGAAATAAAAACGCTAATTTTGCCCCTTTGTAATAATTGTGGAGACAGCGTGCCTTCTATGTGCTTTCTATCGTGAATAAGGCAACTCAAATTCTAACGTCTTAAACATGATCCCACTTATCAAAATATCTACCCCATTTATTTTGGAGTTACATTTGAAGAAATTAATTTTCGCCCAAAGACATCTGTTCCGCGAGTGAATGCAGCAATTGTTTTCTTATAGCGACATGATTCATGGATTTAAACCCATCCCAAACTAAACCACGCGGATTAACAAGAATTCTATTCGCTTACAGCACGAGCCTATCGGCGAGCCAGATTGGGGTCTATGTACCGTGCTCTTCGGGCCGAGATCATGCAATCTGAAGGTAAGAACTGCCCGTCACTCCGGTATTATATCCCGTAGCTATTCTCAATGCATATCATTTATAGAGCATTGACGTCATGGTGAAACTTGCGGTCATGTTTTCCCACGGAGTTAGGTCACGTGACCACGTGGCACTATGGCGCGTCACACTACACCGTGACGTCACGTGACCAGGTAACGTGAAGTCCCCCAAAATCATTATATCTAATCGTTAAGCCGCGGTGACCCTGCTAATACATCATACAAAAGGCAGCCTTGTACGATGGTCCCGGCACATTGGTCATACAAAAAGTGTCTTTGGGCATGTTAGGAGCATACATGCGAACCAAGTCATCATGCTTGAACATGCATGAAGCGTGTACGAAGATAATTCAGTCCTCAAGCCTGAACCGACCACCGCATCTTTTGAATGATGTATGGTCAGTGTAACGGCGGCTCTAACGTCTGAACTCACCCTTGCGGTGGCTATACGATCAAGACCTAGCTGGCAACTGTTAACATCCGTTTACTCTACTACTGACTACTAGCTTCTGGTTAGCTCAATGATTAGAGCGCTCCGCTCTTCAGGGAGACGTACCAGAATCAAGCCTCGAACCAGACGGATTTTGTTTTTGTTTTATTCACCGGCCACCACTTGCCTAGAGGGCGCGAGCTACGCTCCACTTCAGGCGTGTGTATGTGTGTGTGTGTGAAAACTTCATTGTCGAAAGGACGCCCCGTCCGGCGCCCTTTTGTGGAAGTCAGTTTATTCTTGCATAAATCTTCTCCACCTTGGGGACTTCCCCTGAAAATCATTATACACGGCGTGACGTCGCCCGTGACACTGTAGCGTCACAGCGTCATGTGACGTCATCATGGTGTTCGCGCGATGACGTCACAATGTTCACTCGATGACGTAACGATGAACCTTTTAAAATGCGGATGATGTCGCGTGAAAACTGCGATGTCATCGGCGTGGCGTCACCATCGAGGCTACAAGTCACGGACGCGAAAGCGTCAAGAGATAGTTCAATAAATCCTACGCATTTAAAATCACCAAAAGGGCGTCCCGCACAATTGTCTGACGTGTTCAAAGTAAAACACGAGAGGGATGAAAACTGAACTTTAATAAACTTTAAAAAAAATAAGAGGCTTAATTTTTTATTGGAACTTGACTGAGAAATACTTGACTACAAATACAAAGAATGAGTGCCTTAAAAATCTTGTTTGGAACTCTTACGGCGAGAAGGGGCACTGGTTGCGTCTGTCGGGTAACCGTGGTGCACTTGGCATTTAGGTAAATTTCCTTTTGTTTTCGCGCATCCGTATTTCTTTCTTGGTATAAAAAAAAAAAAAAAAGTTGACAGTGCTATAAAGCACCACTTCTCCAATGGTATGCAACATTTGATTACGCAAATACCGCAAAACCTTCGCTCTAGTGAAATGCAGTTCCAAGGTCAGCCCAAAGATGACGCGAGCGTGCCGGTATGTGTTCTCTCCTCGGAAGAGATCACGAGAACGCAAGTGTCTGAACGGGCATTTACGCGAGAAAAAGGCCTGACCAACAGGGGTCACGCAGGCCAACCGCTGGCATTGAACTTCAATTTCAATACACAACGTTTTTTGTTGTTCTTTTTTTTTTTGCGGGATTATAATTGCTTTGCTTTACATGTAGATCACTCATCAAATTACTTTTTCTTTTTGGTCACGCTGAAACAATTGCGATCTCAAAATATAAAAAAAAAAGAAATAGAGGAATGTGCATATTAAAATTCTCGGTTTGCCTAAACGGCGATGGTGTGTGCGTATGCTACTAACCGAGCCGACAGCCGTTCTATAACGTGTACGTATACATAGTCTTAGGCCAGAGTAACACTGGTCATGCATCATGCAGAAGGACACGGCGTTCGCTAAAGACAAAATGGCAGAATTACCTGAGGACAGACCTCAAGCACCTTCGACGTCTGCTTCACACATTTGTATGCTTCGTGTCTGCAGACGGTTTTTGCATGACCAATGCGACGCGGCCGTCGTAGAAGGAAGAGCCTCAGAGACTGCAGTCTGTCTTTTTGTATGACGTATATATGGACAGTATAGACCTTTCCAGGCGGCAGTCTCGAACGAAGCGAGAGGACAAAAAATGCTGAGTCACTGAGCTGTGGACGCATGCGCAGCGTCCGATATACCGCACAGCAGATCAACAGCGCATGCCTGGAAGGCGTTCCACAGCCCAGCACACAAAGATGGCGGCGGGCAGGAGGCGATTTCTGCAAAGGTCTATAGCGTCTGCTTGTCGTGTTTCAGTGATGTCAGAACGCCAAGCCCTGATTGGCTCTGATTGGAAGGATAGTGGGTAGACCACGATGCTAGCTTTCTCGAGGTCCGTACCCACAATCCCTTGCATTCGGAGCCAATCAGAGCTCGACGTTTTTTGAGGTCAACGCAACCCCGGCGCGAGAAGCAAACTTGCGCTCCCTATAGTCACTGACAGTGTAAGAAACGCAGGGCGTGGAATTTTATGCTCTCGCTCCTCGCTTCGTGATTGGTTCTTTTTGCGTTTTTGTCGTCGAATGCCGCAAGCTTACTCGCTGCTGATAAAGAGTAAGATGCTTGGCGGGAATCGACACGCTTTGTATTTCTTTAGCTACCAGTCATTTGATCCAGACTCCGAAATACGCGAAAAGTTTCGTAAATACTTTATTTCTAATAATTTACGACTTGCTTGCAGGGCTTGCGTATCTTAAAGGCCTTGCGTCTCTTGAAAATATGATGATAATGATCAACGCTATTGTACAAGCAGAACGACGAAACCAAGGTAAGGACCCACGTCAACGGACAGTCATATATTGTTCCCTCTGTTACCTGACTTTAATTAAAGTGGGGCAGTTCTCAATTCGCAAGTGCAAATCGAACGCGCCAATCTAACAAAAAGTTAAAAAAAAGCGATGGTTCCGAGCGTTGCGTTTGCCTAAACATTGATCCCACAAAGCACACGAGTGGACAGGAATAAACGCGGATTTAATAGAGCCTTTCCAACATTCAGTGCCATCTAGTGGTTCCAAAAAGCAGTTTCCCTTTTAACAATAATGGCGGTCATGAAGCTGCACTTTATTGGGCACCATCATTTCGGCACGACAATGGCAGATGAAAATTAGTTCAAAAATAGTCCAAAAGCCGGGAGATGTCATGATTAAAATAAAAACACCAACTTCACATAAAAAAAAAAAAAAAAAAAGAAAAAAAAAAAAAAAAAAAAAAAAAACTTCAATAGACGTTTTGTTATCCCATACGGCAGTGGTTCCCAAATAGGGGTCCGCGGACCCCAGAGGGTCCGCGAAGCCACTTCTGGGGTCCGCGAGACCCTCAACAAAAAAAAAATTTTTTTTTTTTTTTTAGTTGGCACGTTTTTTGTAGTTTGAAGCGCGAGCGTGCCACGTATTGATGAACTGACCAAAACGAAGTGATGTGGCACCTTTGTTTTATGTTTTTCTGCTACGTAGCAATAAAAGGCACCTGTTTCGTGCTCCAGATGTGTTAACTTACTAACGCCCCCCCCCTCTCCTCTCCCCTCCCCCTCCCTCCCCCCCCCCCCCCCCCCCCCCCCCCCCCCCCCCCCCCCCGCTGGAAGGGGTCCCCCATCACTGCCAGCGGTCCGCAAGGGGTCCCCGACACATCCATGGCTGAGAACCACTGCCATACGGGAAGCATCATCAGTACATACAGAGAAATGAGTGCGCTTCAGCGTTAAATATTTCGAAATTAAACTATGAATTCAAACGGGGCCGTTATCGGGCACGTCACACACCTGGGCCCGTTTGCTCGAAGCGCTAACCGCGGCTAAAGTTAGCCGCAGTACCTAGGAAGGGGGTTTTGAAATGACGTGACTGGCTCGGTACGGATGCGGGGAAACATGGCGGTGCCCCGGTGAGTGAGCGCCGCTCGCTTTGGAACAAATATGACGTTGTAGCTGCAATACCGGGCGCGTTAGTCAGCAATGAACGGTGCAGGAGGCTTTCGCTTTGCCTTAGGTCACTTAAAGGGGTACTCCGCCGATTTCTTCATGGTCCCCGATTTGCTTGAAATTTTGCTAAACTCGCCAAACAACATCGCCAAAATAGTATCCCAAATATTAGGTCAAAATAATTTTTTTTCACGAAGTTATTGAAATTACAATTTTGGTCCTCGCCGTGTTTTTCAGACTGAAAGTCTCTACTGGCAACAATGAAAAAGTGACGTCATTGGAAGTGCAGGGGTTCACTCTTTGGACTGTAGAATTCGTTCCCAACTGATTTGAAGCAGTTTCATGGTGTCAAATGAATGCCTTGGAAGCTCGCTCCAGTCCCCGCGCTCCAGCACGGAACAAATAATTGGCACATTCTATTTTTTAGACTGCTCGCCCGACTGGCAAGCTGAACTTCCATTGACGTCACGGCCCTGAAAAGGCGGGTATATTTGAATGTCTGTTTTTGCATCATTTTCATTTGCCGATTTCGCAATAACTATTATGAATTTCACGATATTAAATAGCATTCCAGAGAGGGTAAAGGCCTGGGAGTCAGAAAATATAGTTAGTTGAGGTAGCTCAAAAATCGGCGGAGTACCCCTTTAAATCGCAAAGCGTGAGCAATGACCTTGCAATATTTTTAGAGCGCAGCTCTTAAAGGCCCGTTTCCAGCTTGAGCGGCGTCGCCGTCGCCGTCGGCGTAACCGCGAGGTCACTGACCCCCCCCCGCCCCCGAGGTCATGTGACCCCCCGAGGTCACGTGACCCCCCAAGGTCACGTGCCCCCTCAAGGTCACGTGACCCCCCCGAGGTCACGTGAGCCCCCTAGGTCACGTGACCCCCCCCCCCCCGAGGTCACGTGACCCCCCTCCCCCCGAGGTCAGGTGACCCCCCTCCCCCGCGGAGATTGAAGAAGAATCAGGGGCGGAGGAGGAGAAGGAGGAGGAGGGGTCTACCCTCCCCCCAATACCCGTCCCTCCTCCTCCTCAAGAGCCTCGCTCTATTTCGGCGTTACAGGGAGTTGTAAACGGCTTTGACTTTTTAGATAGTCTTTCGATTCTGGCCATTCCTAAGCCTAGATAAACTGAGGCTAACTTTAGCCGCGGTTAGCGCTTCGAGCAAACGGGCCCTGGCTGGCTGTGCGGTTTCTATCGTGTTGATTTGCGATCCGCTTGAAACGGTTTCATCGATCAAAAAGAATTCAGTACACTCTAAAAAATGTCTGTAAGTCTACTTTCACGCAGAACATTTGGAGAGCCAATCACCGCAACTTACGAAGGCAGCTCAGCGAATGACGATGCGGAAACATATGTTTAGACCAGAAAACGCAGTCTGAGTTATGACATTAAGCAATCAAAACGCCACGCTTGCATTGCTTAATGCCACAACTCAGACTGCGTTTTTTGGTCTAAACATATGTTTCGGCATCGTGATTCGCTGAGCTGCCACCGTAAGTTGCGGTGATTGGCTCTCCGAGTGGTGTGCGTGAAAGCAGACGCACAGACTTTTTTTAAGAGTGTAACGTAAGGCACTTCGTGACACGTGATGAAGGCATAATCCTAACTTCGCCCTGTCATGATCTCGGACAAAACGTAAAACTTGCCATTTCATCGCAGGATACTGCGCAAATATGACTCTTCCAAACGCCTATGGAATCGGCTCGGTGAGTTTACTATACTCTCATATCATATTCTACTGCAAATTTTCTTTGGTGACTTACTCTATCTTCATTTCATTATTTATCGCAAGCTTAACAAGTGCAGAGTGCGGCCACTTCGGAGAATTTGATTTGATGAAGAATTATGCCGCCAGCACATATTTAATTATTTCCAGATATGGGAACCTTAGCGAGCGCTCTATTTCTGAAATCTACGTGTCTTTATTTTTATTAGTGCTTCAACGACGTTGGTAGGGACCTATGCAACGTGTCAGCGGCGGTAAGCTTTTCTTGTTTTTTGCTTCGATTCTTTTGATTGCCTTAATTAAACATTTTAATGGGAATCAGAGCCGCGCAGTTTATGACAACCTAACCCCTCCCCCCCCCCCCCCCCCCCCCCGACTTTTGTCTTAAAAAATACGCAGTGCAGGTCGTGGTCAAAAATCCTAAAACGTTTAGCGTCTCACATTGTTTTTTTGAAGTTTAACAAGAGCTTAAAGCATATTGTCGCGAATGAAAAATGATAGACAAACTTAAAACTAAAATTAATGGTTTAATCAGCGAACTTGTGCCCCCGCCCCCGCAAAGAAAGAAAAAAAAAGAACTAGCGTCGGGAAAGCAGCAGCGAGCGTCGGCGTGTCGGTGTGACAGCGCCATGGGCTCCTTACCTATCACCCTCGGTATCTCGAACATTCGGTCTAGAATGCTGAAGAGTCGAACACCTGCGAGACTGTGGCCTCCTTATTTATTACACTCGGGGTAAGAGTAAATACGAATCTTATAGAAGTACGGAGAAGCGGTTCCTCTCGGGCATGCACGCGGCAATGTAGAGTCGATTCAACATCGAATATCAAATACGACAAACATGTGGAACCATTGTTTTAGTCACAGTATCATGAAAGCTGCAAGTGTCCATGACTACAGTTTATTATGTTTATATTTATTTTCAAGTGTGGAGTGTACTGCTTGTTTGTCTTATATTTCAAACTTGACTTAACGCGAAAATGTAATCAATATTCGAGGCGAGGAACTCTGGATCATTCCCTATTTGCATACTAATTATGCACTTCAATTCATTGTCCCTAACTCACCCATATTGCCTAACAACTTCGTCTTCGACCACGTTGATATTGATTGTTTACCATTAAAACCAGTGTGAGCTGTTTTGTTTAAGTCATAGTGTTGTTTTATTAAATTATTGTATTGTGATCTTTATGTGCGGGAACACCAGGTTTAGTAAAACTTCTTACTAGAAAGTTCAAAGATAAATTCAAATAAAACGCTTCGACAAAATTCAGTGAATAACCAACTATAAACACGGTGCAACGACCAACTTCATACGAATGAATCAAGAGAAAGTTCGTAAATAAATATGTTAATTTTGTTTTGTTTCGCAGGACGTGTCGTCGCTGGTGATGGTGAGTTCAACGTGTTCCGAGATACACAGAAACATTTAGAATTGGGGACCCTAACGCTTTGGGTCCGCCATGGAGAGTCGCACTGCGCAGGAACAGAACTTCTGCACCTGCGCTGTTCGACGCCCCAATCTTTTTTGCAGGACTCGAAGCGTTGGTGAATCCTGTTATGAAACGCCCTACTAAATGTCAACGCGTACCACAATAGCTGTATATTTTCATAAGCGTCATTTGTCCTGAACCTCCAGGGTACCTGTCTAATATTCTATAGAGTCTTATAATCTGCCACAATGATCATTGTTTTGTGCTGCTTAAGAAAAAAAAAAAAAAAAAAAAAGGACCGGCGTTAGTGTGGCTATTTTGCGCATCCAAATGACCACCCGTTTAAATGACAAAAAGTGACATGCGAATATATTTGTTTGTTATATGTGGTGTTTACAATGAATCTTAGCGCTGTAAAATTAGCCGAAAAAATCGGCGCCCGCATATGAAAGGTTAGACATTCCCCGAATGTGCGTTTAGGAGATGCATCTAACCCGGTGAAATTTCAAGGCCATAGCCTTCTTCCCGTGAAAAATTAGAGCAGTAATCTTGACAGGGTCAACGGCGGGCGTGCTAGCAGACGACCGAATGTTGAGTGGTTGTAATCGGTGGCGCCATCTCACGATTAGTGCAGTGAGCAGTCAAAAGGGTCCGTCGCCTGCTTGCTGCGCTTATTGTGAGATGGCGCCACAAGTCACAATCATAGCTACTCGGTCGTCTTCCAACACGTCCACCATTCAGCCCAGCAAGTTTGTTGGTCTCATTTTTGACAGGAAGGGAACTACTTTTATCCGTTCTACTGTTGTCTTTTTCTGCGACTTAAAAGTTTCTTAATTTTTCCCCACAGCGGACTCAGGTATTACATTATGATTAGGAAGACTACGCCTTGACATTTTACCAGGCTAAATGCGCCACCTAAATGCACTTTAGGTGCAAGTTCGAGCTTTCTATGAATAGGCGCTGATTTCTTCGGCTCGATTTACTGCGTTAAGATACATTGCAGACACTATATGCATACTTATGCTTATATATATACATATGGGATACATTGATAATGTTTAAATAACCTATCAGTTATATAGTAATTGAGACTGCCGGTTAATATATAACATTCATTATTCAGAAACATGATTTCCATTGGGTTAAGGCACATTTCAAATGCATGTGTGTGCTTTCTCTGGAGAAAAAAGAACGCGTTTTATCCCTTTAGATAGAAAATGTTTGGAAGCCGCTCTCACAAATTCACGAGTAGAGGCCTTTATTCTAAGTCTATACGCTTTCTATTTCAGTGTGCCATTGACAAAATAGCGGCTTTCGGCTTCAATGGGTACCTGTTTACAAACTTCTACCCAATAATCGACGAGATATTTGAACGGACCTTTCAGAACTGTAAGTATGATTTCTGTTGTTTCAGTTTTACAGCACAGCGGATAGTGGGAGCCTCGTCCGAGAATGAACCTTTTCCCAATAGATAAGCTTCAGCGAATACGTACGCCGTCTCCCCTGGCCTGGCTCCCCGCTGTCGCAATTTTCAGAGGGAACCATAATGCACGACCAACATATATTCAACACCTTCCTGTGCGCGCATTTCGTGTGCTTTTTTTTTTTTCGCGTATCGGTAGTATGAAGCATGAAAAGACACCAAGAACCGATACAAGGGCACGATGCCAATGTGTTCTGACGGGGAGAGGCATGGTGGGCGGCCCTCCATTTGTAGTTCGCAGGCAAGTCCACAGATGGCGCTCTTTACTTCAAAAAGGTAATCTTAAATGGTAAAACAAAATGGCTAGGTGGCTAAGCTACCGCCCGATCCAAAGGGCTCAGCCGTATCCATCCATCCAGGTGGCACAAGATAAGTGACAACAAAAGGTGATTTTTTTTTTGTGTGTGTTTTTATTTCTTTTTTTTTTTAATTTTGACTAGGGCACGCATATCCGAGCTCGCTCATTACAAAGGGAGCAGTTAAAGGATTATCATCTTCATCATCAGGTCCACTGGGAAATCGCTTGTCGCGAAAACTCCCCGCGAGGTCATGAGCTACCTGCGTCATTAATAATGTGATCGTGATTAATGACGCAGCTTATGACTATTACGGCTAACATGCAGAAACGACCTATTGAACGGGTTGCTCGCGCGTACCGCCCCACAGTGACTGCGCTGGACTACCTCGCTTCTTACTGTCTGAATGACTCCCACGCCGACGAGGAGTTTTGTCAAGTCGACCCGAGTATCCAAGAGACTACCTGCGGCACGCCCATTGAGTTCCAAGTACCTGCACCTCAACCTGACGAAAGCATGGTAAAGTGTTGCCTCATTATTTCTTGATATGCATGTTCTCGCAGAAGAAGACAACATCAAACTAACTCCAAGTCTATAGACTTGGAGTTAGGGAACTTCTCTTATGAGAGAAGGTCACTATGATGAGATGATCAAGGCCTCTTTATATTACATTCGCTTTGTTTCTCACGCGTGAGGGCTAATATCATTATTGATATTGATTACGAACGATTTGATTTTCTAGCTTAAAGTTTTCCGGTGTGGTTATTTTGGCTGTCCTAGTTTAATAATGGAGATTATAAAGAAGTGAACAAACACACACACACACACGCACACACGCACACTGTCTAAGGCTGAATGCTGTCTACGGAGAAAAAAAAATCAACTGCTGTCCACTAAAATTATTGTTGAGTGTTCATTACGGTTTTGTTCGCATATATAATAAAGCAGTTAAGAATAGCATTGGTGGAGGGCGCTAACGATATAAATATAACTATCTTATAACTTGACTTATTCTATACAGGGTAATGTGCTAAATCTGATGTACTCTATTCTATACTCCACGTTGATTGCATACTCCGCGTTAATTAGAAAAAAACACAAAAAAACTGGTATTTTGGAGGAGCGCAGTTGGAAAGACGAACACATTAAAAAAACAGCTAGAGTTTAATAAGTTGACTGAACGTACTTGCTACGGTTGCACAATTTGTTCATAACTTCAAAGCATTTCCAAATGTTCGAACCCATTTACTTTCAGTGCGAGCCGAATGAAGCCTGCCAAGGCGTGCCACCCACAGACGTAAGTTCTTTCTTTTGCAGTTGTAAACTTAGGTTTACCACAATAGACGCTTTGCACACGCGCGAGATTACAACCGCCATTGCTGATCTCCTTTTGTCTTACCGAGAAACCGATCCACTGAAACGGGCGTTGACGAGAATCTACAAAGGCCAATGCCGCGGAGGAGAGAGTATAGAACCTAAACTGCAGCAATCACCTGGTTTGGAATGGTAATGACGAAGTGAACTATACGGAATAAAAGGAAACAAAAACTGAAGGGAGGTAATGGCGGCGGCCACGTACAGCTGCGGCAAAGCGTCTATAGTCACTGAGAGAGTGAGAACGGCAAGGCATGTCTTTTAAATCTTTTAAACACCGGACCTCAAGCCTGCAGTCCACGCCTTCCGTCTTATACTTTGGCTGCGCGCGCTCTCTCGAGGTGCACGAGCATAGCCTCCAGTATGCTAACAAAGCCTGGCAGATCGCCACGAGACGCGGCCGCCGAAGAGGAAAAGGTGGAGCGGCAGACAACGGATGAGAGGAGAGCCACGGGACTGGCGCCCCGCTGCGGCGAGACGCCGAAACACACTTCTCCCGAGCGAACAAGTGTGTTTCGGGTCCTCGCCGCTGGAAAAGCTGTGCGCTAACGTCGAGGTTCCCTGAGAAATGGCTCTTTGATGCTCTCTGCTACCAGATCCTGGCGCTCCAAATCTGCGACGCGCTCGTCGCTTGTGTAATCTGTATATATGTAATCTGCATCGTTTGAATAGGCCATAAGAGTATTACAATGTTTACGAAAAAAATCTGAGGAGTTGTTCGCAGGTAACCTATTGCTGTAAACTTTAACTTTGTCGTGCGCATAGAAGTGGATCTCACCTTATACGTCAAAAAACTTTTTGCACGTGCTCATGTTGTTTCCGTTTATTTTCCAGCCGACCTTCGGCCGACTTATCTCGGACGAATTTGTGGTAAGAGTTTCTTTTCGACAATGGAGGGTGTCTAATTTTCCGTTGCTGCTGGAATCGTTTTTTTTTTTTTTTTATGTGTTTCAAAATTGCGTTTTTTTTTCTGAAGTTTCTTTGTCGGAAAGTAATGTTGTCTGCTGACGTACTTAAAGTGAAATGAAGCATCGCTCTTTGACTTAAAGTTTAATCTAGAGAATAACGCGGAAGTTAAAAACTTGAACATTCAAATGTGTGATTCTCGTGGAGATTCAATTCTAAATCTTCAAAAGCCTTAGAATATCTTGGAGTGGTGAATTTTTTTTATACATTCATAAATGATAAGGATTCATTGTAAGCAAATACGTTTTTAAAACCCCAACAAAAATGTAACTTTGTAGTTATCTATGGAAATCATTACAATAATGGACAAAACTATTTTTAAGTAAAGTTCATTTATGTGCGCAAAGTACACAAAATGTATCGCAACCACCTATTGCTATCAGCTTGTTCTACACGTTTTTGTGCGGGTTACTTTATGCTGCCGCAACACACACGGAAACACTATTGGTGTGAAGATCCGACCGTTGTACCCCGAGCGGCAAAGTTGAGAACTAAACCGGTCCTGTTACTCGTTACTCGAACAAAGTAATCGATTACAATTATAATTACTGTCGGTTAAACATTCTTCAATTAGATTACTTAATTACTCGAGAAGAAAAGTAACTGGCCGTTACTTGAAAAAGTAACCGTTATTTTTTTTTTTTTTCTCGATAACTTGACATTTTCAGAACGACAAACTTTTCTGTTTGTCGTTCTGAAACGACAAACGACAAACACTGCTTATCCCCTTAATCCACCAATTTTGGTAAACCATCCAAGAACTAGCTTGAGGATTTCTTGGAAGGTTGTTGAAACAAAGGGCATCATAAAAGAAGGAGATTAAAAAAAGTACTAACGGCTACGAGTAATTTTAGTACTTCTAAAGTAATGAGGCTCCTCTTCAAATGTATTCAAATTATTACAAAATTATACCGAAAAGCAATCAATTACAAGCAATTTGATTCCTTGCAATTGGTACCGTACAAAACGGAACTAAACTCATGTAGAGAACAAAAAAATGTTTATCTCTGCTTCTGGCGCAGTGCTCTGCTGGCGGTGCGTCGAACGCTGCGTCGGCGTTGGGCTTGGGTTCGTGCTCATTCAGTAAAGTACCGAGTGAACCCGAGACTTAGCCGAACGCTGGCCCCTGGTTCGATTGAGAAAGATGACGGAAAGAATCCAGTCCACACACAGCGGCGGATTTTTGGGCCAGGCTTGGAAAGGGGGGGGGGGGGGGGTCATGAGATATGAAGTTACTGCCGAAACTTTGTACCCAAATCTATTTTGTTGACCAGAAATTTGCTATGTCACCCAAATCTAAACTTTTTGCTGGTGTATATAAATTTCTCCACCAAAGAGAAGTTTACCTTTCAGAAGTTAAGGCCCCCCCCTCCCCCCCCCCCCTTGCCCCTTAATCCGCTGTTGAGTCCACAGACATTGTGTTGGGTAAACAGTGAGCTCTGTGGAAAACGAGCTAGAAAGATCTTTCCTAGCCAATAGACTAAGAACAAGAGGACAAGTATAACACCGTTTCATATTTCTAGATTTATGCGTAGTTTGTGTTTCTGTCCTCTTGTCATGGTGGCTACGTCTTGGATTTTAATATGTATTTGATTACAGCTAGCCCTATGAGCTCTCACTGTTTTGCGCCACATTACTAAAGAAAAAAAAACATATACGCCCATTCGACCCATGGCTTATAATACCATACAAATGATCCACACGAATAAAATATAAAATCTAAGTAATTTTACCAACGAATTTAACAATTTTAATTGTTTCAAGAAAACCTCCCTTATCTTATACGCTTGTTATACACATGAAACACGCTGGGTGTTGTCGGGGGCTGTGCGCCACATCTATTTATAATTTAGAGATTGCTTATTGGAACATTATGAAAGGCAGTTCACGCAAAACATTGTGATTGTGGTGCCATCTTACAGGGAAAGTATGGTAAACCGCCATCGCAATTTTTGAGTACGGGTTTTCTGATATGTAAGTGGGTATAGGTTCATTTTTTTTTTTAATAGTGCCCCAGGTAGCTCCCTTTTTTGGGCCAAAATTTGCTTTTTGTGTAACGATTTAGGACCCTGAAGGATCTAAAAAGCCAACGTATAACTCAACGTGATGTTCTTTGGCCACAGTCTGGCTATTTTTACCTTGAATTGCCCGACAGACTGCAACCCGGCTCCTTTAAGCCTCAGTTACAGAGAAACTGCCAGAACTAGGCTTGCATTTTGGTTGTTCGTTTCGGTTCTCCTCTGGAAACTTTGGGCCTACATTATCAAATATGTGTCGAAATTGGTCTTTCTTTCTTTATTTACTTCAAGATACTGTTAACCCCTCTCGGGGTCATTACAGGAGGGAGTAAAACAAACATACATTAATAAACAGCACTAGAAAACGAGAAACACCGCATACATTGAGCATAATTTGCCTTCGCCAATACAAAATCAAACACATGAACGAAGAAAAAACACATACTCATAATATTACAATCACTGCGCAAAGCATTATTAGAAAACGTATGTGCATGACTTAATGGTGAGAAGAAGAAACTACTTCCACAAGCGCTCCCAATATTTTAAAAACTCTTTAGGGGAACATGAGTGCACAATTTCCTGCAGAAGAAGGTTCCATTGCTCTATATTGTTTTAGGAAAGAGAGAACAGTGGAATACATTGGTTGTACTTTGAAATGGCTGGATAATTTTAGAATGGGTACTTCTTAAACTGAGAATATTACGGGGTTTCAAATACTGGGTATAGTCAACGTTAAAGAGGCCATGATACATCATGAAAATGTACTTGAGTGTAGCATTGCTGCGCCGGTCGGAAAGACGCGAAAGGTATACAGTTGTTTTAACATGCCAGTAACAGAGTCCGTTGGTTTTATCTGGAGAGTATAATCCGGGCTGCAATAAGTCTTTGTACCATCGGGTTCAAATGAAATGCAAACAGCGACGGAACTTCGAACCCACTACCGGCGCAACTTCCAAGCTTGGGTTGTGCTTGGCGAGGTTCAAAAACATCGGAGTAGGGCGCTGCGGGGTTGTACGTCCTACTCCGATGCGTTTGAATATCGCCAAGCACAACTCAAGCTTGGAAACGGCGCCGGTAGTGAGCTCGAAACTCCGTCAATGCTCGCATTTCATTCGAACCCGTTTGTACATTCTCCAATTTCTTAATGTGATTTTTCTAATGGGGTCCCATATTACATTTGCGTACCCTAATGCTAGTCGAATTGGCTATACTCTTTTGTAGACCATCAGCACGGCGCTTATAGTTGCACCCCTAAACTTCTCTTAAAATATCCTAATGTACGCTTCGCAGAACATAAAATATTGTCGACATGACTCCCCAATCTTAAGTTATGTAACTTATGTGTTCAATTGTTACACCCAAATATTTGTAGCTGTTCACTTCCTCTAAAAGAGACTTGCTGTATACGCATAGGGTAGAATATTTTTCTTATTTGTTATCCTTAGAAGTACAGTTCTGTCAATATTAATTGCCGTCCCCAATTCTTGGCACCATTGCTTGTTGTTTGGTTGATACATTGTTTGTTTGGATAATGAAATTACGTCAATTATGCGGCGAACCAAAAAAAACAAAAGCCGTAAAAAAGCACAGGAAATAGTAAATTTGTCACTAACTAATGCCTGGGTGCGAAATCTTATGAGGCGGAAGTTAGGCCCCTAATATTGCCAAACTTGAATCAAGTTCGCCGTGTCCCTGGCTTGCTGCCGGGGGCATGTTTGTATGGAGGCGAATTTTTGATAGGTGTCACTTCTTTTGCCGTAGTGCCTGGTCAATTTTCAGCCGATCATGAAAAATGTAATGGTGTACAATGACGTGGCCTGCCACCTCACCCAACTGCTGAACCAGACGGATTTGACGAAATACCCGGTGGAGGACCAGTTGGAAACTGTCAAGTCCCAACTGACGGCTGTATCCATCTGTGAGTCACATACAGGACACCTTCCCTTTAGCAGCTCAAAGTACAGGGTGTTTACGAGAAAACGATACCATGCTTTTCTTACCGCAAATATTTCTACTGCATCGAGGAAAAGTCTGTCCCCACCCAGATGTAGGGTGACAGGTTGCGTTGAACCGACAAGAGTTTCAGAACTTACCTTTATCTGTATTAAAAGTTATAGGCCACTTTCAGAAGTTTTCGGTGAGGAAAAAACGCCCTTCTCGGAAGCGGGCTCCATTCAACTCATTGCGTTTGCGATTTTTGTTGACCGCCATTTTCTTGTTGAAAATTTTCAGAAACGGCTTAAAACATTTGAATTAGTTTAAGTTCTGAAACTTAGACATCTAGACCAAACTGCTAACGGTCTATTTGGTAGGAAACTTAAAGATCCGCAATGAGTAGGTTATTTTTCAGGTAAAGAAATACAAGGTTCTCTTTTCGCTCAAACACCAGGTATGGCAAGAGAAAAAACAAACAGAGGTGTATTAAAAGCAAAAATAAGAAGCAAGCTGTATATTTTATAAAATTTAATTTCGTTAAGTTTTTTTTTCTATAGAGCTACCATACTTCATTAAAATATTGTCTTAAGACTATAAGTTTGCTCAAATACATAGTGCCTAAACAGTGTCAATTGGATACAAACTTGATAACTCCACTCTAAACATGCCGGAGCATTTTACTGCGTTGTCAGAGTCACACCAACAAACAGATTAATGGTAGAATCTGTTCCCATGACTAGGCCCAAAAACGACTCAATCGGGAAATGTTGTGTTAGATGTGACACTGAGCACGACGTCAGCATGTGACTTGCAATGCTCATTGTCACACCATAAACGTCAGTTTTGGGAGAAAACGATTTTTTAACATCGTCGTACATTCTCCACGTACATTTTTTTTAAACGCATGTTATTTGACTTAGCGAGCGCTCTGCGGGAAGACAGACGAACGGACGTATTTTACACTGTAAATTTAAGAATCGTTGGTAGACTCGAAAACATCTGATGCGTCTGTACTTTTCCGCAAAGCACTTTAGAGAGTCAGGCGCCGCGTTCTATGGAGGGTGCTCTGAGAAAAACAAGATTTGAAGTATGTTAAAAAAAAAAAAAAGGAAAGATGGACTGCGTTGTGATTTTGAGCATGAGGTAAGCACATGAAACATGATGCTCAGAGTAACGTCGCAGATTTTGACTTTAGGTCTAAACCTGTTTCCAGTCTCATCCTTGGCCGAGTCTACTTCGTATGCTCCCCCAAGTGATTTGCGGGAAAGTAGGCTTACCGGATTTCTTGGAGTGGGAAATCGCTCAAATGTTTAGGCCACAAACATCGTAGGACCGTTCAAGGTTTACGTTAGACTTACGTTCTTTGAGCTGATTCCCCGCTTTTGTTTCGATTATTTTCAGGCACTCCGTGAAGAAGACCACCGCAACACTCAAATATCGGGTAAACTACGTCTTTCTCAGGACGTGTACCGTACAAGGAGTGGCAACAGGACGCACCAAAACTACTTAACCAAGATTTTTTTTTTTCTGGATGGCTGAGCTTTAGCAGGAAGAGTAACTTTATAGGACGGTTAACACACTTTCGATCCCTCCCCCCTCTCCCCGGTGGTAAGCATCCGCAAGTGCGTGAACATGCCCTTATACCCCTGCCATCCCAGCTTTCAACACATCGGTACATAATTTAATTTTACGTCTCTGACTGTGCAATCAAGAAGTTTGTCTTTCTTCTTTCCCCAACGCGATCGGGATTATATACGCAGTGCTATGCCGTGAGCCTAATAAAAAGTATAACTTCATAAATATTCGTGTTTTTTTTTTGTTTTTTGTTTTTGCTGTGCTTTGTACAGTGCGATTCACGACGCTCCTACGTACGAGTAGAGTTTTTTTTGTGTTTTTTTTTTGTAGACTGTTTGCGCCGTCTCTCAAAGCTCTCCGGTACACCCAAAGCCGCGGTTACACCGCTAATACACTACAAAAAACAGTCTGCAGTTGGTCTCCAGGCAATGTCTGGGGCGTGTTTGTTTCTTCCTTGTGTCCACACTAGCCATACATACAAACACTGTCTGCCGACAAGTTCGAGGTGTACGTACTTACGAAGCAAACGTGCTTCGATCATGAATGAAGCGTGTCCGCGGGTAAATGACCTCCTGTCCGCAGAGAAAATCCGCGTCTTTTGAGTGACGTTTGAGCAGCTCGACCATGGCCCCTGTGCACATCGGATCCTTCAGGCCTAATCAGTATTGTACACGTTACTCGAGAAAAAAAAATGATTCGATTAGAATTACTCTCGCTTCAAAAGTTATCAATTAGATTATTCGATTACTCGAGGAGAAGAGTAATTGCCGTTACTTGGAAAAAGAGAGCGTTACTTTTCCGATATCTTGAAATTTTTGAGAACGACAGATTTTTCTGTTGGTTTGAAACGGGTCTTGCCTGCTGTCCATCATTCAATTAGGATGGCCGAAATATAAACTATACTTACCTTCGTTATTTAACGATTTTGGCAAACCATCCACCTGTCAGAAAATTACTAGGATGCCTTGGTTGGAAACTTGCAGAAAAATAAAGGCGCCAAGGGTACTGACGGTTACGAGTAATTTTAGCACTTCCAAAAGTCACCAGATTACTTCTGCGATCACTTCCTAACAAAAGTTTTAAAAGGATTACAAAATCACTGCGACAAATATTCGATTACAAGTGGTTTGATTCCTTGTAATCAGCACTGTAAAGGTCTGGGTTCTAACCGATCCTTTTCAAGAGTTCATCGAGCAGTATTGGCGGTCGCCATTTCTTGGGCGCGGCGTCCGCTTGCAGGCCTTCGCTGACTTGGCTCTCTCAGCGTCTCGCGATTCATTAGGGAGTTTTAGTAGAACGTTTTCGTGCAGCCGCTCTGCAGAGCGGAGCGCGGAATCGCCACTGCGCCTGCGCGCCGATGGCCTTGGCTGTAGAGTTCCGGGTAGCGGAGGGGCTTAGCGGAGCGGGAAACACGGTTTACTAGGGAGTTTTAGTAGACCGTATTCCCCCCTCCGCTAGCCCTCCGCTACGAAGAAACCGCCATTGCGCCTGCGCGCCGATGGCCTTGGCTGTAGAGTTCCGGGTAGCGGAGGGGCTGAGCGGAGCGGGAAACACGGTCTACTAAAACTTGCTACTAAAACTCACTATTTTCCGCGTCTACCTTCCGTGTTTCGAGCACGCGGTTTCGAGACGACGACAAATGCGTCATGGCTCGCTTCGTCGGAGTCATCGACACTGATCGCAGCAGCGATGAGTGCGATTGTTATGAAAAGAGGTTGGAAGTTGGTGATTCGAACTTTGACTCGCTCGCGACCAGCTCCAGCGACGACGACGAGATCACATCCGCGACGATTTCTCATGTGCTTGCTGGGTGGAAGGTCAAAGGACAAGGGTAGTGCCACTAAATAAGCTACGCTTCAGAGTAACGGCACTTGGCCATATTGTGTCTTAAAATCATGGTTCCCAGTTATCTGAAGCTTTATCTGAAATCACAGGAAATGCTTTTCCGTCCTCCACAAATGTTTGAACAGTTTACGACAAAGCAAAGCAATATATTACATGAGCTTCCTAACACCGAATCTAATGCTGAGGAAGTCGCACTTTTGAATCATGACGATCGGCCGTTGCGTCTGTTCTGCATACGAGCCAAAATGGCGGCGCCCACAACAATGTCTGGGAACGGAGTGCCGATACTCTAAGCGCAGCTTATTTAGTGGCTCTAGACAAGGGTATTAAAATTAGGGGGGGGGGGGGGGGATCTGAATTTTCAGGGGTCTGGAGACGATTTCTTGTCTTTATTTGCTTTATTATACTTTCTCGCTTTTTTTTTTTTTTTTTTTTTTGTGCGTGTGGACACGGATGCATGCAAGCGTGTTGCCCGAGAGAGGTTCTGGAACTCTACATTCAACAAAATGAAGAATGCGGAATATCCTTAAAGGGGCGGTGCAACGATATTCAATTGGAATGTTTTTCACTTTACACGAGCTTACTGGCACTAGTGGGACTCAAGGATACTCGCACGCAACGGCACTGACCAAGAAACTCCTTTGTTGCGCTGTAATTTCGAGGACAAAACCGAGCGTTTTCATTCAATCTCTCCTTCGCAGAACCTGATGACGTAGCTCGGCGGTAGCAGTACCGCCCGGTGACGATATTTGAATGCGGCTTATAGATTGGACCCGAGCATTGCGTGGGCACTCAATTTGGGCTCGTGATAATCGATAGCTCGAGAAGCATTCGGGTAGTGTCCTGTGTCCAATCGTTGGAATGACGACAACAGCCGAACCATAACAATGTCCGGAACGCAGTGCGTGTCCTGTGCCTTGCCAACCCCAGCGCGTGGCTATGATCGACATTGGCGGCATATAATCGGCTCCAGATCACGTGGCCGCTTGTTCTGGCTGCAAGTTGAGGGGGTGAACTCTGCTCGGTTTTCTTTATTTTTTTCTGTGACTTCGATCGCGTTGGTGAAAAACAAACGGGTATTTCACAGGTCATTAACGTCAGGGATCCGTTCTAAGCGGTATTTGCGCAAAATACAAAAATCGTTGCATCGCCCCTTTAAGAAAGTATGAAGTAAAACAAAAGGCAACTTCAGAAAATATCAGTCAAGGTATGAATACTGTGATGCCGCAAAGAATGTCAATAACAAATATGTAATCAACGGGCAAACCTCTCTGTTCTCTTTCACATCAACGGGAGGATGAGCCATACCATAAAGCTAAGCAGCGCGGAAGAGAGGTGACGAAACGGTTTGTACTTTGATGCCACTGTGACGTTACCTCCTTATACACCTTTCCAAGGAACACTCGACCCCAGGGGCAACAAACCGTTTTCCAGCCCAGTTTGAGACTAGACTCTCACCGGCGTCCCAGCTAACCCTAACCGAGTGGACTGTGATTTCGATAGGCGCAGCCTGCGTAGGCGGTTTCAAACGCTGCTGGCGAATAAATTCTCGTCTTTTCCAGCTATATTTTGTTTCATGGTGCATATATTTTCCCGAGGACATTGAAAAAGTACTGTACCACATTTAAAAAAAAGCAAAAAAAAAAAAAACTTGTAAAACTATTTTGGTTGGGTACGCGATCAACAGGACGAATGCGACTGGAATGTTTGTTTTTCCTTTTTTTTCTACAATAAGTTTTGACGGCGCCGCCCGATTAGCCACGTGTCAAACGACAAAGCGCTTAGCCAAATACTGGAAACTCCGCCGCGGCGAACGCGATAGTGGCGCCTCTCGCAGGCTCGGGAGTCTACGGAAGCAGACGATCCTCGAGCTTTGCGTGCCCCGTTTCGTCACCCGAACAGCAGAAACAATTCATTACGGTCAGTCCGCTTGCAAAGCGGAATCCACTGATCGCAACTGGGACGACAATCAAATAACAACGCGCGCAGAAACACAGATAGAGGAGTTCATTTAGAGGTTTCAAACGCCACTCAGGGGGATCACACGCGTTTGAAGCGCATCTGGGAAGCGGAAAAAAGGCGTTTAGCTACTCGAACTACGTCGTAAGAGATAGTTCGAGTAGGTTGATCCGTTACAAACTGCGTTGTCACAATGTCTCAAAACGTGCGCAAACACCATGATAAAATTACCTGAGCAAGCGCACCAGCCTCTGCAGCATTACGAAAACAAAAAGTAACGAGAAAAGTGACCCTGAAAACACTTTCCGAACTTTATAGAAAAGATGGGGAAGGTCCCCATCTAAGACGAAAATAAAAAGTAATAGGGAACAGTTGTGAAAAACGGTGAATGAAACAAAAAAGTTTGCAGACGATACAAAGATACAAATCACCCAGCAAAGACCTCCTCCAACGACGATGATCGCACGGGGCGTCGAAAATTAGCAGGTGGTGCTCGCCGTTGGTGTCAAGCAAAAACAATACTACAAATTATTAAAAAAAAAAAAAAAAAAAAACTTTTTTTTTAAGCTGCACGTTACACGTTTGTTAATTTGTTTTCGCGGCGTTGGTAGGAATTAAGAACAAAACAGAGGAAGCGAATAACGTAGTCCAGCTCACAGTGCCGGTAAATAAGAGTCGCACGCTGTATACTCTGCTTCGTGCTAGCAGTGTGTGACCTTTTCTTGCTTTTGCATTCCTTTTCCCAGTGACTTTGGCAAGTTGTTTGTTTGCTCGCTTGGCGAAGCAGTTCAAAAGTACATTCAAGTACTTGTTGACGTACATGACCAGCCTGTCGGTTCGCTGCGATAGATTGAGTCGTACCTTGGTCGTACACAAAACTGTACCAGTGCTGTTTCGGAGCAGCTTCCAGTTCACTAAACGCAGCTAACTTGTCCCCAACTTTCATGTTCTTGAAGACAGGCCAGTGGCTTTGGAAGTGTTTGGAAGGTCGAGAGGCGACAGGAAGGGTGGGTCTGAGTTCGACCCCGCCGCCTTCCCCAGCATTGTTTACTGTGTCAGAATGCCACTGAGACAAGCACACGCCGTGTGTAGCGTAGTGTAATATCTCCTAATGTCTCACACGGCGGCCAG